CGGCCTGAGAAAGGCCGCATCGCTAATTGCGGGGATAAACAATCTGTCACGATCCCTCAGCACGCCTAATAGGCAGACGAGGATGTTGTTTTTAGGCGCCAGCGGCGGCCGGATCAAAGGCTGCAGCCTGCGCAGGGGCCCTTGAAGTCGCGCCCCCGCCTCCAGGGAGCAAAATGCCTGAGCCCGCAGCCCCGGGCCCCGCAGCCCGCCCCTCGGCTTCCCGAGCCCGGCCCCGGTCCCCGCCGTCTCTTCTTCTTAGGTCCAGCCTGGGTTCGCGTCTGCTCTCGCCCTGCGCGGTGGGTCAGCCGCCTGCAAGCGCTGCAAGGCAAAGAGGGTGCGTCTGCAAAGGAAAGGGGGTTCAGACTCGATTCCGTGTCCGGATAGCGCGGGGCTCTTCCACCGCGAGAAAGGTGTCCGCGGTCTCGGGGCAGGGAGTTTAAAGAAATAAAATGTCTGTCGGTCTCCCGGGGCCTGTCGTTCGTTCCCGCGGGAGGAGAGGCACGTGTGTGCGGACAGGGAGAAGGGGCATTCTCTGCGTTTCTTTTGGTCGAGGCCTTTACCGATTTCCCGGTTCGTGGGTTCAGCGAGCTGACGGGCCGGGCGGGCTGCGCCTGTTATCTCGCCGCCAGCACTCACCCCGAGGCGCTTCTACCCGGCATTTCTCGGCCGCTGCAGCCGCTGCAGCCGGGCTGTAATTCATGCCTGGCAAGGGCAGGGCTGGCCCTCGGCAGATAAAGCTCCGGGACCGACGCTCCGCTGCCATCCTTGCAGACTTCCCTCCCCTCCCCCCTCGTTCCATCTCCCCCATTCTCCCACATCCTAAAGCACTCTTCCCCCCACCCACCCCCGTCCCCCAACAAAGCGCCTCTGCACTTCTGATCCTAAAGACGAATTGTCCTGGGTCCACTTTCTGGGCAACTAAACTGGTGGCGGGTTTGGGTTTTTCCCCCAAACGTCTGTTTCACGGGGGTGTGCGGTGGCGGGGGAAGGGTGGTGGTGTAAATCTTTAGAGGGACCCCATCCTGAAGATGGTCGTCACTCTACGGGTACTGCCGCACACACTGGAAGAGCCTGCAGGCTGGGCCCTCACTTGGGCATTCGATGTCGCCTTCGTCGGGTTTTTGTTTACGTCCCCTCCCCCTTTTTGCAATGCGCTTTGTGGCCTAGGCCCAGGAATCCCGCGTACATTTTTTAAAACGTACAGCTCAGTGGGATCCCCCGGCAATTAGCGAGCCCCAAACAGTCCTCTTTAATAGAATGAATGTGCTATGAAAACCGATTACCCGGAACGATTTATTTTGGTGGGAATTCACCAATCGCCAGGAGGGCAGCGGAGGGGGAGATAGAGGGGGTATTCCGTCCCGGGGTGGGAGTGGGGGGTTGACTGATAGACAGAAAGCGACATTACAGGATCTCCCCACCTGCGCACGGGGCCTCCCCACCCCGCCATCTCTAGGCTTCTGGCCTTAGTCACCTAGAACTGAGGGGCTGGGAGTCAGATTTGGGAAACTGGGAGCCAATTCCAGAGGATTTTACAGTTTCCCAGAGGACTTCAGGGAGTCTTCAGCTACTGGCTGAAGATCCGGAGCACAGATCCGGAGCAAACCGCTTTGCACTTTCCCCGGACCTGGGCAGAACTTGTGCCTGAGAGTTTTGGTTCCCTTCTCTACCGGGAAGTCAAAATAAAAACTCCTTGTCAAAAAAGCGTTTTCTCCTTTCTGCTAATTCCTCCTCGAAGTGAGCCCAAGTTGTGCGGTGGATTCCGCTAGGCCCAGTGAGAACTGAGGGGCTCACCCCACACCCCGACTTCTCTCCCCTCTCACTCCGGCCAGGGCTGCCTTGTGACTTTAAATTCGGAATGGGGGGAGAAGGGACTAGGATCCGCGGAGGAGAGAGCCCCCCCCCCCACTTCAAATGGCCCAAATTAATGCGATCGCGACATGAGGGTGCACTTGGGGAAGATGAAAGCGGAGGCCGGCCGGCTCCTCCTCGAGCTCTATAATTATAGATAATATATCCCATTTCAAAGCAATTAGACCAATCAGGCGTAACGAACCACTTTGCTGCCGACGAATAACAAAGGCGCACGGTTATTTAAGCCTGGAGATGTCAAGCAGACCCCGAGGCTCCAGGGCCCGACCAAACGTCTTCTGCCCTGGCTCTGCCCACCCCAGGCTCTGCCCATCCGGCTGAGGGTCCGTCTCAGTTCCGGCAAGGGCCTGGAGGAGCAGGGGTCTGAAGGGAGCAGGAGAAAGAAAACTTTCTTATGCCGAGTGGAGTGTCAGGCCTCTCGTCAGAGCTTCCCAGACCTTATCTGATTTAATCCTCTCTATTCTGGGAGAGATAGGAATTATTACCGCCCCCCCCCAGTTGAATTAACAAAATCAGAGAGGTTAAGTGTCTTGCTCGGGGTCACACAGCTAGTTAGTTGTGGCGCCTGGATCTAGACGCAGGTGGGTCTGAACCCCCCACCACCCCCACCCTGGAAATCCACTCTTTCCACCACCCCCTCCCCCAGCAGCCTCTCTCACGGTGCTTTCAAAAGACGAAATGCATTAAAATACAGGACATGCTGGCAGTATGTGGAGGAACCGCCTCCCAGACTCGCCCTCCATCCATGAAACGGGTCCAGCACTTCGGTGCCTTCTCTCCTGCGCCTCGTCTTCCCACCCACCGCCTTCTTGAGAGTCCAGAACACTGTCCAGGTTTTCCATAAATGTATCAAATGTCGAGGATCTCCGGTCTCTCTGAGGAGCAAACAGACTCGGCTGTGAGCCCCTTCCCCAGCCCAGGGCCGAGGGCCAATGTTTCCGAGCCTCGGTTTGTCGGCCTGAAAGTGGGAGGAGACGGGCGGGAACCGTGATCACGGGATGCGGGAAGGCAGAGAAGCCCGGGCCAGAGGCACCGAGCCCCGGAGAGATGGGCAGGGCCCTTCCCATCAGCGCTGCTGAGACCCGAAGCGCCTCCGCGGCCCACACGCTCCAGGGAGACTGAGCGGAAGGGAAGGCGAGTTGGGGATGCCACAAAGGCCGGAGTGGAGACTGGAAAAGACAAAACTCCAGGGGACCCCAGGGAGAGATTGTCACCTCAAATGCGGCCCGCGCCCCACCGTGGCGGGGCAGCTGGTGGGACCGTGTGGGGCTCGGAGCCGCCCCTTCTGTGACAAGGCGGATCCCAGACCTACTGCAGAGGGGCCGGGGACATGGTGGGTGGGGCAGGCCCCCGGGCCCCTCTCACCAAGACGCCTCCCACCCCCCTCTTCTTTCTCCCGGTCTCTGGGCTCTGGCCTCCCAGCTTCCGATGTTCCTGCTCCGTATCCTCCTGTCTGTCTCTCTGTGTGACTCTGCCTGACTCTCTGAGTCTCTTTGAGGCGGGTCCCTGTCTCAGTGCGTCTCTCTGGGTTTCTGTGGGCTGATCTGCAGCCTCTGTCTCTGCGTCTCTTTGCAGGGTCTCTCACGGGGCAGTGCTTGGTCTCTCTTCCTACTGTGTCTTTCTCTTTCCCTCCCTGTCTTTCAGTCACTTTGTTGAAGTCTCTCTCCCCTCCTTCCACCCTCTGCCCCATGACTCAGTCTGAATCACTGACCTCAAGTCACTGGGAAGCTAAGGTCCCTGGAGAGAGCTCTTCCTGCAGGCAGCGTGGATTTCTGGAGCAGCCGGCACACCTTCGGGAGCAGCAGGAAGCGCCCCTCCCGGCCCTGGCCCCTGCCCCTTCTGCCTGCTGATGGCCTCAAGCTACGAATTTCTCCTCTCCTCTGAGCCTCCGTTTCAACATCTGGACCGTGAGCTGCACAATGTCCCTTCCACCTAGGGACCTCGTGAGGAATGAACAGTGGCCAAGGCCGCTGCAGGCCCAGCGCTGGGCGGTGCCAACTTAGAGTCCTTCACTGCTACTGTCTCAGAACACAACGATGGAAATGGCACACCAATGCAGAGTATCCCAGGGAGGGAGCGAGGGTGACCCGGGGACCGATGGGGACAGCAGGCTGAGGGCCCCAACCACTACTCACTCCCCTCTTAAGTGCTCAGAAAGGGATGACCCCTGGCAGCCCGGAGTCTCCCCGCTCTTTCGTGCTTAGCCTCCAGGCCTCAGCAGCCCCAGGAAAGGTGGTGTCCTGCCTACGTCCTATACCCTGCTTCCCTTCAGCCTTTGCCATCCTTTGGCCTGGCTTTTCTTGCCCTTGAGCTTGAACAAGGGGTGCTCACCTGTGAAGTGAGCCAGGGGTGTTCACTACTGTGTGGCCTTTCTAGATAGAGCGGAGAGGTCCAGAGAAGACGGTGGCTGGGAAGCCTCCAGCATGCAGTAGGTGCTCAATCAATGCTCACTGAGTATGAAGGGAGGAAGAGGAGAGCCCATGAAATCCGTCTTTCAGTCAGAAAATCAATAGTGAATTTCATGTGGGAAAGTTAGGGAAGTGCAGAATCAATGACTCAGTGTCTCAGTGACCTTGGTGAGACCTTGGAGAAGTCCCTTCCCTCCTCGGGCTCCTTTCTCCAGACATAGCCTCTTGCTCACCACAGCCATCCCCCTGCCCTCCCACCTTGGGGTTGTTATGGGGAAAGGGCAGTGTCCATCCTGGGTGCTATGTGACCCGTGTTTGTCCCTGCACTTTTCTGAGCCCATCAGCTCACCAGTCACAGAAGCGGCTGAGACCGATCTGAGGGATTTGGGGATGAACATGGTGAATCCTCTGCAGGCTTTCCTTTAGGCCCAGAAAAAAAAAAAAATCCAGAGCTGCAAGAAATCAGAAATTTGGTACAACATCCATATTCCATAGATAGGGAAACTGAGGCCCAAAGAAGAGTCATCTCTCCAGGTCCCTGAGCCAGAAACTGGCAGAAATTGTACTAAAATGCAAGTCGTCCAACCCCCCAACCCAGTGCTTATCCTTCCCTCTCTCCTGAAAGGTCTAGAAATCCGGAGCATCTCCAGGCCTCTCTGTGCCAGTCCTACCTGTGACCAGCGGCTTGCACCTTTGGGACATTGCAGAGGGCCATGCCCATTCGTGGGGACTGGGGTGCAAAAGACTAAAGTGCGGTGCACCCTGGAGCACTCTGGCCCTGGTAAGTTCAGAGAGCATCTGCTCTGTCTTCCTGCTGAGGACTGGCGCGAGCTTGGGTTTGAGTTTGGTTCTCGGAGCTAGCGGGGCCTGGAAGACATCCACTTTGAGCGCCTCCTACGTGCTCAGTGCTTCAGATGCACCGCCCACAGTTAACTCTCACAGCAGTCCCCGGCGTGCGCGCCCCACTTTCCAGATGAGAAAACGGAGACTCCCAGAGTCGAAGGAGCGTCCTCCTGGGCCGCGCAGCTGGGCGTGGGGGACACCAGGCTGGACCCGGTCAGCGTCATCGCGCAGTTTCCACTACGCCGCGCACACCAGGGCCCTGGTGTGTGCCTGCCAGCCTCTGCGTGGGGCGAGTGGGCCTGGGGGTTGTAAACACCGCAGGCTTTGGTTCGGTTCTGTTTTTCCCCCACCGCGAGCGGATTTGGCGCTGGAAGATTGACGCCTCTCGAATTTCCCCAGTGCTGCAGGTCCCGGGCGCGCGGATCAGGCAGGGCCTCGAGTCCTTGCAGAGCCCGGCCCTCTGGGCTGGGGGTGCGGATCCGGAGGAGGGGGGAGGGCGGGGGTGCGGAGTCCCGGGCTCCACTGCAGGCCTTCTTACTGTGATCCCTGGGCAAGTGACCGCTCCTGTCTGGACCTCAGTTGCTGCATCCGTGTAATGGACCTACTGAGCTCCCTGCGTCTTCCTCGCTGAGGCTGTGCC